GCGATCTATCGAAATAGATAGCGTGAATCGGCCATCTACCGCTAGAATCGACCACTGCAAAACAGTCGGCTTCAACTCACTGTCTATTCTGGCGGTAGGTAGCGCTGATTTATTTCGAGAATAACAATTTTTTTAAATTTTCCGCGATTACAATACATCCTCGCCCGTAGGCATTGGTTATAAAACATGTGCACGATACCTGCCATGATCATACAATATTATTTCGTCGGACATCTGACAAAACCTGCTATATGCAGGAACCGTAATGTTACAGGGGACGAAAAAAAACTTATCAATTTTATACTACCGACCTTAAGACTCTACAACTTTGGTCACAGTTGCAGTTAGCAGGTGGAAGCATTTCAATGATGAATTTTTTAATAATATGCTGCATTTTATTAATTGGGATACAATTTATACCTTCAACAATGTCAATGTAATGGTCGAATTCTTAACTAGAGAATTAATACGTCTTTTCGATATGTGTTGCCCTGTATATGAATTTAGAGTCACCAGAAACTTTACACCTTGGATCACGGATAATATAAAGCTTCTAATGAAATTGCGCGACAAAGCTTTTTGTAAGTTTAAAATAAGTCGTCAACCTTCTCACTGGGACTATTATAAGGAACTCAGAAATTATACAAAAGGGGCCATACAGCGTGAGCAGAAAGCTTATATTCAATTTTCTATGAAACAGAGAAATATAAAAATGACTTGGCATCGGCTACGTCAAATAGGAGTTGTCAAAAACAGTACAAATTCCATTCCTTAACACATTTCTAATCCAGATACAATAAATGCTTACTTTTCAAATCTACCCAAAGTTCATAGAACTCAGTCTCAACTAGATTTGTTAAATGCATACAAAGAACCTCGCAGTAACAACTTGTTTTCTTTCACTTCAGTAGATGCTGCATTAATTTCAAAAAACATAAGAAGCATTAAATCTGATGCAGCAGGACATGATGGTATTTCCAAGAAAATGCTATATGTTTTTGAGGATCATATACTGTACCACATTACCTATATTATTAACTTTTGTTTATTAAACTCCGTTTTTCCAGAAGCGTGGAAGATTTCAAAAATCATCCCAATTCCCAAGGTATCTGTAGTAGAAGATATTAAAGATCTGAGACCAATCAGTATTTTACCAATACTCTCCAAATTATTGGAAATGGTCATAAGGCAGCAAATCTCGGAATTTGTTATGACAAACAAAATTATACCACCGATCCAATCTGGACTTCGAGCCCAACATGATACGACAACTGCACTTGGCATGTATAGTTGATGACTTCTACAAATCACTTGACAAAGGTAATGTTATGTGTTTAATTATCTTGGACTTTATTTAGTAAAGCCTTTGATACCCTAGATCATAATATATTGTGCATGAAGCTGAAGTACTTTGGATTTGCAGATAATGCGGTAAATTTAATAAGGGACTACTTAACTAGTAGGTACCAATACGTATCGGTAAACTCTTCATCTTCTGACAAAAGAATGATTACAATGGGTGTACCACAAGGGTCCATATTAGGCCCTTTACTATTTTCTTTATATATTTTAGACTTTTATAACTACGTAAAAACTTGCAAAATAAATCACTATGCGGATGATACACAATTGTACTTCAGTTTTCAGATTGATCACATTTTGAACTCCTACTCTTTGATTAACGACGATATTAATATGTTATACAATATATCAATTGCACATAATCTAAGCCTTAATGCCAACAAATCAAAGGCAATTCTTTTTGGCTCTAAACAGAAACGTATGATTTCTAAGCATTCGTTTAATCTGAACATTAATAACATACCATTACCTGTAGTGGATGAGAGCAAAAATTTGGGATTGTGGTTTGATTCAGATCTGCGATTTAGTGTCTATGTCAATAAAATTTCCTCCTCAGCCTATAGTATGCTTAAGCAATTATATCCACAGCGTCGTGTTTTAAATAGTAGCTTGAAAATGAAGTTATGTGATGCCCTTATAATTTCTCGCCTATCTTACTGTGACAGCATATATGGCCCGGCTCTTTTAAAAAATGACTGTTTAAAATTACAGCGAGTACAAAATTCGTGTCTGCGCTTCTGTTTTGGTATAAGAAAGTTTGATCACATAAGCCATATATTCAAACAACACAACATTCTAGGTTTAGATAGATTGAGAAAATTGCATTTCCTATCACTAATCCACAAAGTTCTCGTGAACAAAGAGCCGCAATACCTTTTAGATAGAATTTCAAAGTTTGAAAATATCAGTACATTATATACTAGAAATATGCGAATGATCGTTATACCACCCCACTTAACAACAACCTTTAAACGCAGCTTTTCATATAACGCAGCAAAACTATACAATTGTCTCCCAAATGATTTTTATGACTTCTCTTTATTGAACTTTAAGAAAAAGCTAAAGAATTTGTATCTGTCTGAAGTGTGAAGGATCCTATATGCCGAACTCTGTTTACGCTCACTACTTTTCTACTTGTCTCTCTTTCATTCTTGTTCTATTAATTGTTGATACAAAATACTTTTTCGTTACCTTCAAAAATGTATTATGATTTGCTGATAGGACGTTGGTAGCTACACCAGCAACAAAAGACTTTTAATCCTACGTTTTATTGAGAAAGTTATGGTAGTTAAATGGATGAGCTGAAACTCACTACATTTTTTTTTTCTTTTTTTTATGATTAGTTCCTTTCTCTTAGGCACTAGGTTACAGAACAGTTATTATGACTATCATTAATACTTATGTTTATCTCTATTATTGTATGATATGTGTATGTTCATGATACAGATACAATTTTTTATTTGAGGTTGAGTTGAAAAATACCCCTAGGGTAACACTCCACCTTTTCAATTTTGCACTTTTGCGGTTTTCAAGATATGATTCTTTTGTTTTATTTTATGTATGCAAAGTTGAATAAAGGCACATTATTATTATTATTATTATATTGTACTATGTTGCATAGATGGATTCAGTGAGATTCGTGTTAGAAAAATTGTTATTCATTATATCAAATTAAAAGTTAAATGCTTTTACAAATCTAAAAGATTCTCAGTCACACCTTAAATGATTCAGCTTCTTTCCTTGACATATGGCAAATTGTCGTAAAACATGTGATAGTCCTTAGATATAACACTATAATCTGAAATGCCGGGTAGCTGTTTAGGTCTCATAGGCAACTCCTGAGACTCTACACTGAAGCCTAGTTTCACTTCCAGTTTTCCATCGGGATTATAACATAGTTCTTTAATGTCCGTGACTACATTGTCCCTGCCTGGTCTAATTGTTCAGTATCGCTGCACCTCTGTTCGAGCGTAGTCCTTGAGAAGTCGTAACTCAATTGGATCACCTCATATGGCCCTGGTTTTGTCCTAGCTTCTTTTGACGCCTTAATATAGTCATTTGGTAATTCAATAACTCTATTTCTCAGTTTTCTTTAAATGCAACTGTGAACAGAGTCACATTCCATCTGGGTGTTTCCTTTGGCAAGATATTTCTGAGAAATCACAACGTCGTGTTTCATTGCAAACTTAAGAAAAATAGCACGCGTAATTGTCAGATAGCCGGAATTGCCGCTCATTGACAGACGTGTTGGCAGTGGTAGGTATTGTTTTGGCTGAATAATTCAAAAACTAAATTTTTCTGCAGTTAGCGGACATCACAACGTGCGCTGTAGGTAGACGAAAAAAAATTGGCATATACCTCAAATTTTGAAAAAATGTCAGTTCGCAGGTATTGTCAGATGTCCGACGATTTGCTGGCGTATATGAACTTGAATTAAAATGGCAAATTATAGTGAAAACCATATCGTCACAGAAGGATGTAAATCTCTTGGCTACATGAATGTTTCGAAAACACTTTATTTATACTCAGATATAAGGCAATGATCCAAATTTCTTGTTATGTTCGTCAGTAGGTTGTTTTGTGTTATAAATTTAGTGTACTTCTCCTCTTTATGCTAACACCAACAAAAGTTAGGGGGTGATTATTCTGGGGAATAATATCTTTACCTTTCTTTAGATTAGTAGGCATGTTATTAGGGCATGGCAAGAGTAGTAACTGCCCAGCTTGACGAGCTGTTAATGGCACTCTTTAGTACATATTAGCACCATAATTCAAATACCTTCCAGGCACCTTTTTCCCCATATCAATTCGTTGTAATATGGCCCTCATTGTTACATCCACCAGATATATCGGGGAAGCTAATCTTTCTGTCGATTTCAATAACTTTGGTGGGATGGAAATTACTGCAATCATTAATTAGATGTGATTTTTATGCATGCAGAGTAGACAATTATCTACATGTCTCGTATAAACTAGGAAATACTGTTCTTGAAGGTTTGTCAGTCAAACCAATTTTTTATAAGAGAAATGAAGATGTATGGTTAATAAATGCTTAGATGGACAGATAGTAACTCTAAAAGTATTGTAACGGACACTACATGAATCATTAAGACTCATTGAAACAATTGTCAGGAAAAAAATACTTGCTAAACTGACGCAGACGTAGGAACGATAAATAGGATAAAATTGGTTGCAGTAAAGATACATCAATAGACTTTAGAAAATATACAAAGAGCTGCAGCTTAAGTAATAAGTTATTATGAATTGAGGAATTCAGATACCGAATAATAAGCATTTCTGGCAAATACATCTACAACAGTTTCCCAATTTTCGTAAGTAGATCTTGTAAGGTAGAATTCAGTTTGTTTTACTGTCAAAACTATATCCTATCGTAACCTCTGTCGCGTATTGAGGTTGAGCACACTAGTACAGTTAGATATTCTATGGTCCTAAAAAGCAAGACACGTGAATATGGTAACCATAATACTTCTAGTTATTTCAGAAATCCAGAATAATTTGAAAGTAGGAGAACTCTGGATGTATTTTTTTTATACTCCAACTACCACGAAGGCCTAAGGCCTAAGCACCCATTGGGTACCGTGGGGCTATAGGGGGATACATGGGAAAGGGGGGGACGCCACACGGACTCTGGCGAGGGAACACGTGTGCATGCAACATGCACACATTCTGGTTCCGCCTACGAGAACCGCCGGGTGGTACCTCCGCCTTCGACAGTCAGAGACCATCTACCACCTACGGAGAATCACAACATCCATAGCCAAGAGAAAAATTTCTCCTGGGACGGGACTCGAACCCGCACAGCGCACGGCGACTGATCAGGAGACCGAAGAGTCTACTACTGCGGCCACCGCTGCTGCCTATGTATGTTAGGAACACCTGATTCCGAAAGTGGAATAGGCGGATCATGAAGACTTCAGAAACCTACAAGAAATTGAAAATCGAAGAAAATTTGCCAGAAACCGTACGTAGTTCTAATAGTACTATTTTATTTATTGAGCTACTGCCCAATAGAACATTTAAAACAATTTCGTGAGCAGAGTTCATCTTTTATTTATATTAATCACAACAAAAAGTAAGACTAAATCCATTACATGCATCCTCTTTCTATTTGTATTAAAAATTTATCTCTTGAAGATCTGCCAACCATCATTCCAGACAGGTTTTTTGCAGAAAACCCTATGTCATCGTGTTCTCAATGGAAATGGGGTTATTTTGATTTGATATAAGATATTTATTTATTAAACAAATCGGTGCAAATAACTACTATCTATATATATATACAGGGTGGTGCATCGAAAATGAAACAGACGCATTTACTGGCAGCTCAGTGTTTTTTTTTTTGGAAAAACGCTCAGACCCGTCGATTTTGTTTTCGAGGGGGACACAAGTTTGGCAAAAAATCACGTTAACACGTGCAGCCCCCTGGGCGGGGGTGACACCATCAACCCTAAAATCTTAAATGGAAAGGGGGGTTGAGTGATATCTTATTTTAAAGGACTTTCTATTCCCTTTATAATGATGTAAAATACATGAGCTTCAGTTCAGTAGTTTAAAAGATCTATTGATTTGAAGCTTAAAGTAGACTTTTAATAGGTACATCAGATTAGTTTGTACTACTTTCAGAAGAAATTTGACTAAAAGAATTTACTTAATAAGTAAATGCTTTTCTTCACTACGCCCATGGTTTGTTTATCATTTTGTTGTTGAAAATAGCTATTGGAGCGTTTTTTTGAGACAAAAAAGTTATTTCTTGAAGAAAGATAAGGAAATATCTCGTACTTATTTTAAATAGGAATTTAGTACATAGTTTGCGATTGATTTGACCAAACTTTGTTGCTAAAATAACTTGTAACGCCTTATTACATAAATTAACCATGGTATATTCCACAGCAGAAAGAGTTGAAATTATCGAAATATTTGTCGGAAATAATCAGTGCGCTAATAGAACAGCAGAAATATTTAATGAGCGACATGAGAACAGTAACGTGAATCGAAAATACGTTCCAGAACTTGTAGCTAAATTTCGGGAAGCTGGGTCAGTCGCCAATAAAAACCGCAACATTGAAAATCCCATAACGAACGAAGCGATAGAAGTGGGGGTTTTAGGGCAAGTTTATGTAGATCCTACGTTAAGTACCCGCATATTGGAGACTGTGTGTGGTGTTAGTCGACGTACTGTCCAACGGATTCTAAAGGCCCATAGTTTTCATCCGTATAAAATTCACCTGGTACAAGAACTTAATGAAGGCAATTTTGATCGGCGATTACAATTTTGTGAAGAATTATAAACGATGAACATTTTCTATTCAACACTTGCTTTTCCGACGAATGTTCATTTTTCTTAAATGGCGTAGTAAATCGTCATAACTGCCGATATTGGTCCGATTCTAATCCCAGAAAATATCATGAGGTTCATACACAGCAGCGACAAAAATTAAATGTTTGGGCTGGTACTTTTGGCGATCATTCAGTTGGTTCTTTTTTCTTACCTGGAAATTTGACCGGTGAAATGTATTTGGAATTACTGGAACACGCCATAGATCCTGCATTAACAGCCATAATTGAAAATCAGAATGATCGGCGCTACATTGCGAATAGGTTAATGTTCCGACAGGATGGTGTCCCACCTAACGGGTCAGTTCATTCTTCATTTTTAAATTACGTTGCTGCCAAATGTATAAAGGGAATTAAAAGACCTTTAAAATAAGGTATCACTGGATCCATTTAAGATTTTGAGGGTGGAGTCACTCCCGCTTAGGGGGCTGTACGTGCTAACGTGATTTTTTCAAAACGTGTGTCCACCTCGAAAACAAAATCGACTGGTCTGAGCGTTTTTCAAACTGAGCTGCCAGTAAATGCCTCTGTTTCATTTTCGATGCGCCACCCTGTATATATCTGCCAGCCCATTAGTTACACCAAGAAAAAAATAGATAACCCCAACTTTTGCATATTCTCTCGACTTCACACCTTCGGTTGGTATCAAATGCATTTGTTGCTGTTACCAATGCAACTTTCAATTTTTTATTAACCATAGTCTAGCCTGGATTTTTTTTAGCCAACCTACTAAAGATGTATTTTGTAACATACTCAATTTGATACAAAATGCCTTCCATCCATTAAAGAGATGGGTTGCTTCTAATTCGAATCTACTATTAATACGTAATAACTCTGCAGATCTCTGATATTTTGGCATTCAAAAACCTGGGACTCTGGATTAAGACTGAACTGAAATACAAAAACCATGTGAATTCATTGTGTTAATATACTGCGTTTTCAAGCAGTTTTATTCGCATAGGTAAATAATGTGTACTTCACTAAAACTAAAACTGGGTGAAACATTAATTAGTAATTGTGATAGTAGATATGGCCCCGCTCTATCATGTAGCGAAATTCAGAATTCGTGTGTAAGATTTTCTTGCGGAATATAAAAGTTTGATCTCTCATTAATTTAAGGAACATGGTATTCCGCAGATTGAAGGCATGTAAAAAATCCATTTATGGACACTCACACATAAGGTGCTGGCCAGCAAACAACGACGATATTTGCATAAGAAGTTAGCACGATGTTTGCGACGTAAATCAACTGAATACAAATGATAGTGATACCCTTACATTGTCAAGCTGTCTACAAAAAATCATTTAGCTATTAATTTCAAAAAGAAACCTTGCCTTACCTGCAAGTCGGGGTCCGATGATGAACACAAAATGCTAGAAATATGGACCATTATTATAATTGCTCATACTTTTTGTGTCGCTAATTAGTTAGTTATTAGTGAGTAATATGCATACTTCTTATTAGTTCAGTATTATATTATGTTTTTTTTTTTTTGTTTCAAAAGTTAAGTTGACAAACGCCACTCTTAGCGACACATCGCCTTTTTTGTACTTTTGTACGAAATGAAGCCTATTTATTATTATTATTATTATTATTATTATTATTATTATTCTGTATTTCACTCCTAGAGGAAGGGATGTGCTTGACCGGAACTCTGCCTGAGTTCTAAGGTCTTTAGTCGGAAAGGGTTTTCCGCAAAATGTGGGCTGTTCCTAGCAGTGCTATCTTTTGAACTTGTGTTGCAAAGACATCTCCGGGGAGTTCTTTTATGTTGTTCTTGAATGACATAGTGGCAGTCCCCAAAGCTCCGATGATCACGGGTACCGTTCTTGTCTTTGTCTTCCACATGCGCGATATTTCGATTTCGAGGTCTTTGTATTTTCTGGCCTTTTCCGCTTCTTTGGTGTTGACGTTGTTGTCGTCTGGTACAGATACCTCAATTAGCAGACATGTGTTCTGTGTTTTATTATGGTAAATAATATCAGGTCGGTTGGCGGAAATCGTACGGTCGGTAATGACTCCTTTGTCGTACATAATTAATGCTTCGTCTGTCTCTACTGCTGCTTCAGGAGAATGATCATACCAGTTGTTGCTAACTGGTACTTGGTGCTGCTTGAGGATAGCCCAGTGTATGTATTTAGCGACGTTGTTGTGCCTTTCGGTGTATTCTGTTGGTGCCAGTGTTGAGCAGCCTGAAATAATGTGGCTTATATGTTCCTCACATTGATGGCATATTCTGCATTTGCTGTCGACATTCTGTTTCAGGACCATTCTTCTATGGTAGCGCGTGTTAAGTGCCTGGTCCTGTGCAGCAATCAGTAGACTTTCAGTCTCCGCCTTCAGTCCTGTACTTTTCATCCAATCCAGGGACATGTGTTTATCTACATTGGTTTTGTGTAGGTTATTGTAGAACTGTCCATGGAGTGGTTTCGATTTTAGGGCGTTGACTTTTTCTGTTCGCATGGCCTCCTTTACTCTGAGTTTCAAGTTGTCCGCTGACTGATCTTCGTTGAATTGGTATGCATATTGTCTTTTCATGGCTTCCCCGATCTTTGTAATGGAGTATTTAGCCTTTTGTTGCTCATGCAATAGCACTAACTTGATGAACTTGTCGTTGGAATGGAGTATATACTCATAAAGGCTGGCAATTGTCATCCTGTAGGCACTGCAGAGTTCAATTAAACCTCTGCCACCATCGCGCCTTGGAATATAGAGTCGGTCTTTGTCAGCTTTGGGGTGATGAAACTTATAGATGGTTAACAGTTTCCTGGTTTTTCTATCTATTTTTTCAATGTCTGATCCGCTCCAGTTCAATATTCCAAAGCTATACTGCATTACCGGTACAGCAAGACTGTTGACTGCCTTTATTTTATTTTCGGCGCTCAGTTCTGTTCTCAAGATTCGCCTTAACCGACCATAGTATTCCTTCTTCACATTTTCTTTCATAGATTCATGATGTACCTCGTCACTTTCATGTACGCCAAGATATTTATAGGTTTCACTTAGATCAAGGTAGTCAAATCCTGCACTATTTTCAGTTATTTGGTTTACATTCATTGAGATCTTTCATCTGGTAATCGTGATCCTTTTACATTTTTCCAGGCCTAACTGCATGCATATGTCCTCACTAAACCGCTTCACAATGTCTAGCTCTCTATCTAGCTGCTTGTTGCTGGATGCGAATAACTTGAGGTCATCCATATATAATAGGTGACTTATATAGGAACCCTGCCTGACCTCGTATCCAAGTTTTCCAGAATTCAGAGCGTTAGTCAGTGGAACCAGGGAGATGCAGAATAGCAGCGGTGACAAGGAGTCTCCTTGGAATATCCCTCTGCGGATTCTTATTTTATCAGTTTTGAGGCACCCTTCAGCGTGATGCAGCTGTAATTCGGTATTCCACTTCTTCATAGATGATTCGAGGAACTTCACAACAATCGGATTAACTCCATATAAACTCAGAGCTTCAAGGATCCAACTATGAGGTATACTGTCGAATGCCTTGGCGTAGTCTATCCAGGCCATGCTTAGATTTCGTTTTCTCTTCTTGGCATCTTCAACTAACATTTTGTCTATGAGTAACTGATCCTTGCAGCCTTGAGTTGATCGACGGCAGCCTTTTTGTTCTGACGGTAGAATGTTGTTAGAGGACAGATGGTCATATAGTCTATTAGAAATAAGTGAAGTAAGAACCTTATACAGTGTGGGTAAGCAGGTAATTGGACGATAATTTTTTGCCTCTTTAGAATTTTT